GCCAATCCATGCTGAAAAACCGATAAATACTGTACGGATGTGCGCATCTCAGGGCGCCTGGAAAACGCGAACTCCTAGTTAGAAGTTTGAAAACTTTACCACTCGGCCAAGAGCTGCATACATACATCACCATCATCATCGATATCTTGACATTGGTGTTCAACACCGATGCTTTGCTGCCGTTCCATATAGGTCGGCAGTGTTAGTCACGAGTATGAACGTAAACCCTTAGAACTGCGGAACGACTGACCAAATCATGGTTGCAATCCTGTGAACCTGGCCTGACAGTTTTCGAAACGGCCGGCAACCACTCGCCTCGGCTTGGCCACGGGAATAACATTACTTAACTTCATTGCGACCGAAAATAAGCTAGCAAATCAGATTACCGATAAAGATAACCTCATTGTATCTATAAACCACTAAACTGGTGTGCGAACGGAGGACTGCAACGAGATTTCAGGCACATTTCGTTCACATACTGATCACACTACTCACTAGAAGGAATGTATTAGTTATACAGAGTCCGGCATTCCATTATGCATCCACGAAATGAAGAAAAAGCAGTTATAGATCACCTTGGATAAGTGCGGGCTCTCGTTTTTCGTGAGGCATTAATTATTGTCCTATTGTTATATGCTTTCGCATCAGTCGTTACAGCACGTTTCTATCAGTCATGCATCGCATCCGAGGCCTATTGAACGAATTACTCACCAAGGGTCACACGTTGGCATGATTAGGAGAATGCCAAAGCGCCTTGGACTCTGTCGAATCCATGCTTAGTTCCGACTTGCTTCTTACAACCTACGATGTATCGCTGGAAATCGTTGTGGCTTCGAATCGTGAGACTAATACAGTGACTTTGCATGTATTTCCCAACATGCAGCCTGATCCCTGACACCAGACGAGCGCAACCACGGTCGGATGGAAATCGTGTTTGCCATCGAAAAATCCCATAGAACCTTGTACATCCGTCAGTCTACCTTTCTGATCGATCACAAGCCGCTGCTTACTGTCTTTGGTTCGACGAAGGGAAATTCGATACATACCGTCAACCATCTTCAACGACGGGCCAGTCTTTTCCTGAGACACGACTTCAGCATCAAGAACCGGTCCACCACTGGCCTCGGACAGATGACGCATTGGTGAGTCACATTGATTCAAGCAGACTAGAACCAGAAGACACTGTAGTCGCAAAAAGTACTTGGGAGCCGGAGATGAACAGTTTAGTGTCAGAAGCACCATCCAAACGACCACTGACATGGTTTGGCAGGCTACTAACCAAGACCCATAGCTACAGCAAGTCATCAAATACCACCACAGTCAATGCCACATACCTTTTCACAATATCTTACCTCAACCGGCGTGACACGCTATCACCACCCAATTGATTCCTTTATTTTCAGAGAGCGTTGTCATTCCAAAGGAGCTACAGTCAGCTGTACTCAATCATTTTCATTAAGGGAACCCCGAAACAAACAGAATGAAGGCCCTTGCTTGGAGTTTCGCCTGCTAGCCTCTGATAGACTCCCAGATTGAGTGGGTCTCCAGATTTTGCCTGCAGTGTGGTGAAGTCACTCGTGCCTAGGTTCCCCGCCGATACCCACTAAACCCTGGCTTTGCCTTCACATCAACTACGCAAGCTCAGCTGGTGGTCAACACTTTTTGGTCGTAGTCGACCCCTATAGTAAGTGACTGGAAATCCTACAACTGCCACCACGATCCTGGAATTCAGACGACCATTCAGTGACCTTGGAATTCCAGAGGTTATTGTGTGCGACAACGGTAGTCAGTTCACAGTATTGGCCTTAGCAGAGTTCTGTGGCTCACCGTTGTTACATCCACATTCCAACAGACAGGTGTAACGCCTCGTTGACACCCTAAAACGCGCGCTCCATAGGCTCAAAGGGAAGGTACGGACGGAGATCTCCTTAAGATTCCTGCTGGCATACCGAGCGACGCCACACCCGAATTAACCTGATAGAGCGTTAGCAGCAAAGGTACTGGTCGACGGAAACTTTGAGCATCACATGACACTATCTGTCCAAAGAAGTCATCGAAACATACGGGTGGATGANCTATAGATTCCGGCGGGCATACCGAGCGACGCCACACCCGAATTAAACCTGATAGACGTTAGCAGCAAAGGTACTGGTCGACGGAAACTTTGAGCATCACATGACACTATCTGTCCAAAGAAGTCATCGAAACATACGGGTGGATGAACAAATCACCCGGCATTACGGCGCGACCGAGCGCTCCTTCAGCGAAGGCCAGAGTTTGCTATAGAAGGGAAGGTTGGTAGCTCAGGTTATATAGATGGCCATTATTTCTCTCGCTGAGTTGGGCAATTTGGTCACCAACCGAGTTGACTTAATCGGTGCGCAGTGAGTTGGGGTGCGTCGGCATGTAGCCGCTTAGCGGTGTTGTGCTTGTGGTTATATAAGTCCTTATGACGCATTGGGGGTAACTTCTGATTATTAGTGGTCGCTTGGAGGGGTGGATGGTTGATTAACCCTCTGATGAACCGGCGTCCGCAGGACATTTGAGTTTGACCTCTCCAACTCATTCAGCGTGACCTTTGGCCTTACGTTCCACCATAACCATTCTTGTCACCTGATCAGTCCACTCGTTTGAGCTCTGAATATATAAATAGTATCCTTTTTTCTCATGCTGTCCACGATTATGAGGATGATGGTGAGTGAACCCCCAACAACGAAGCTACGTCAGCAAACTTAAAGAAGGGCTAGGTGGAATGCTGCTACAAAACCGGCCTACGACTCGCAATTGGGCGTCGCAACGGCCAGAAAGCTCAACTTGCATGCGAATGATGAGAGGACCTGGCCACTTGCTTGTGACAAGCCGAGCTCTGATCAGCTGAAGATATGGACCCAACAGCCAGTCATGTCTCAGTACTCACTGAATACCCGTTGCCAATGGTGCGTCCAGGTGTACGGATTTGCAGAATGTTGTAGTTGCACACACCCTAACAACCCACTGTACATGCGTTTTTATTGTTTTTCGGCGTTCATTATAGTGTATACCCTTCGTGTTTATTCTGCTGAAGACGCTAGCTTGGGCTGACCAGACCAAGAAATGAGTTGAGAGATTACCGTTATAAAACAACCACACATTTTTCATTAGTACGAGGTACTACAAATAGGATGTCGCTAAAGACGAAGTCTAAATCATACCCAAGCAGTAAGATCACTAATTTCTTGCTAGCACAGATGTAAATAACAGGTTAACGACAGTCATCATTACCGAATGAGTGAACCCTCGTAAAATCTTAGACGCCTCAATAAAGACCCATTCGCACTCCCTGAAATGGTAAATGATGGCAATTTCTGACCAATGTAATTATATCAAAGCAGTAGCCACACATTCTTGGGCGATTTTTGTTCATAATAACCATGTAATGGAGCAATGTTTCGGTAGAAAACTAAAACTATAAGCCGTATATTCATAGGTTCTGGTCGAAAGTCTGAAAAAAGTGCACAATGCAGATATGCTATTTGGACAGGGCATCGAAGGTGATGATTTCAACTGTACCATGTTGTTCGTCTTCTCTGAGAATTTCTGAACAAACTGTGCAGACCAGTTTTTCATGTGAGTATGAAATTTGTGCTTGAAGTAATTCTCAGACAAAGTTTTAGCTGAATGGAATTTACCGGTTGTGCAAACGCGTGATTCTCAAGGATTTATCTCCACATCCTCCTGGTGGGTCTCAGTAGAAGGGCGCTGGGACGATTGAGATTTCAAGGTCAGATGGACCATCGAACGTGAAAATATCGCCTGGTACACTTGTGTATGCATGAGGCTTGCTCCGAGAGGGCTCAAAAGTAAAAAAAAGTAGTCTTTGCTACAAACTTATTCGACGTCTACTAGACAATCGTTAATAATAGTGTGGGTAGACAGCGTTGTTATCGGACTATATAGGATACGAGATAAAACATGATGGTCGGAGAGTGGTGTTTCACCGTTCACCTGCAGACTTTCCTGACTGTGACGAGAAAAAGCGCCTTCAAACCCCCTACCGATTTCTCCGATAAAAGAATTTTAGACAAGTGACTCACGGTGCATGTCACACAGGTCGATGGTTGTCTGCTGCGATTACGCTGTGGAGTAATGGTTAGGTTCTAGAAGAGTTGTCCTCAGTCTTGCTGGTTTCCCGCAAAGCATATCCGGTCGCTAACAAGAAGCAAGCTTCCAATAATTAATGGCAGTTTGGCGCAGCTTACCAGCTTCTACATACATGCGTTTATAAAATATACGTAGAACCAGCAGCGTTTCCACATAATCTTCGGCCGAATCTCCGTGGCATAAAAAACCCAAGTTGAAAATTCCCAGGGTGACACTGTCAAAGGAACCCAAGAGGACGCCACATACCGCTTCAACAACCCCTAAGCGACTCACCGTTATATACCATTCTCTGTAGACACCCGACAACTGGATGAGTTTTTAGAGCTTCCATGGGAATTCTTTCAACAGGACTTAATTTCGGGATACCTCTGAAGGACGCAGTCGGATTAAAACACTGCTTAAGCTTTAGACTCTACATAATCAGTTGATAGAACTGGCCTCTTTAGCAAAGAGGGATACAACATCGTCAAGGTGAAGAACGTGCACGCATCTTATCAAACAAATTGAGCGCCACGTGGTACATGGTTTGGAAAATTTAAATATAGAGGCATCTTTGAAATAACACCGTCAAATGGAGACTCATACAAATTTCGTTGCTCACAACGCGAGACTCAACCGAAGACTCAACCGGAGTAAAGTACTTCGATTTCTTGGGTGTCGCTCCAAACGAAGTCGCGCAGTTCTCCCTCAGTTAACCACAAATCAACAAATACAGAATCACAGCATAGAGGTCTCAACAATCAGTCGATTTATTTAATCACGAATAAATGCCGCACTGTGAACCAATAAGTTACTCGGAAAATCACAAACACAGAAGCGAGTCGTGCAAATTTGCTTATACAGCATACAAGAACGGCAAGCTATTTCGGTTGTTCGTCCAGGATAATCCGCAGACATTCGTCGGCAAACTCAATGAAGAGAGGTTCCCGCATCGCCTTCTCCATAGCTAAATCAGGCCTCCGTGAATTGTCAATGTTTTGTAAATAGGAACGCAGATGTGGATTCGACAACAGATCCTTTAAGTGTTTTGAATGACCTGCGCAGTGCATACAAAGTGCAGTAGCTACAACTTACGAAGCAATTCAAGCTTTCGAAGCGGAACGTAGTCTACTCCGGTAGTATCTTCGAGCTCAAACTCCTCAAACTCGTCGTATTCTTCGGTCACGACTGGTGCTGTTGCGACCGGTGGAACACATACACCACTTTTATGCTCTTTGTAGCACGGGACAGAACAACTGGGGAAAAACGTTATAATTTTATGGCGTATAGAGACTTACTATCCGGATAAACAGATAGGACATTTGTACTTTGCACTGGCCAGAGTACAAACAGTGCAACTAGGTTTGTCCATTCTTTAGTGAAATGCCATCAGGTAAGTGCGAATAGCTGGAAGGGAAACGAAGGCAGACAATGATTCGGTGAGTAGAATAAAGAAGTCGACATTTGGAATGTGGGTAAGACAGAGGTGGAGGCTATGGAACGTCTACTAAAAACGGCTTGTGGACCGACTGGACTTACTTTACGGACTGGTTCCTAGGTGAGCACACGTGTCAGAACCTACGCTCACCCACTCTGATGCGTCAAATAAATCTGAATAAACAGCTTCTTAGATCTTCGTGCGGTATGCATCAAAAATCTAACTGTGTTGTAGCCTCGTTTAACATTACAGCTGAAATTCACATCCCTCCTACAGCACAAGCATCAGGAAACCCACTGTCGTTGCTGGCCTAGAACGCCAGCGCCTGTATTGCCGTTCAGCCTAGCCATATCGAAGGAAGTACAACTTTCAACCTACTACTACCGATTGAATGCCGATAAACCGAGTCGTAATTAGTAGAAGACATTTTGGCGCCAAACCATGCAATAATAGTAATGTTCTTCAAGCTAGCCACTTCAGCAAAAGAACCACCAAGGGTGCACAAAGTGTGTTAGACGCTCCTAACATGTACGGTCTGTCATATGAGGCGGTATTCTGAAAATTCAGGAGCCTTCTGGCAACCGGCATTTAGCAGATAGTGATTCATGATTGACTGTTTGGGCCAAACAGATAGCCACTCAGAGCTTGTCTTGATGCTGGACCGACGGCCGGCCCGATCCTCTGGCCGATCGCGTGCGGGTTAGGCTTTTTGTTCGTAGCAGCGCCTATGAGCAGTACGGAGTTCATCCGAAACTGAGGATGAAAAGGTATGCCCTAAATCTGATTAGCGAGGATTTCAATAAAAATATTGCAGCTAGTTCCCTGGGTGCCGAATGAGCAATATTTTGCAGATCAAATCGAAGACGTTCAAATATCACTCGCTTCCCCGTATTGAAAGCCTGACAGACCCCCACAGCCACATCCCGTAATAAAGAATGAAGCATCAATAATGAAACTCAATCCCGTAACGGTCATTTTAAAATAAATCCGGCTGAAGTAACGGTACAAGCCTATGTGTGAGGATGCCATAAACTACCTATTGTTATCTTTCTCGCAGGTATTCGTCTAGAAGTAGTATCGCTACAAATAAACGCACAGCTACTAGGAGTGCCAGGAATTCACGAGCGAGGGACTCAGTCATCTTACAAATGACATCACACTGTAGCCTCTTGCTGGTGCTGAGGTCAGTCAGCGAGCTGGCTTCAAACAAACAAAGCCACCAACCTGATCAGTTCTCCAGAGTGAGTATAAAAATAGTGCGCTTTGATGAAACGATAGAACGACGCTCCCCCGAGTACAGCACGATTCGTTTGTCGTCTACCTTGTTAAGATCGCTTTATAATTCGATAACGAATGCTGAGTTAAAATACCCTAAACTATCCTGACGTTGGGATTCTTACCTGTTGGGATGAAATTTTTATGAGTCCACCCTCCGCAACACGCTTCCTTAGCCTGTCAGCCGAACGGAGTTCAACTTCCGGCATTGGCTAAAATATGTACCAAGTTTTACCCTTAGGTGATAATCAAACGAAATAGTTGCGTCACGACCGAAGATAAGGAATTCAAAGAATCATCGGGGTTAGTTACGAGGAGAGTCAGTCCTGATTTACCACTTTGGACGGCAGCAAGGAGACAGTCCGTGACGTCAAAGAGAAATCAAAGTTCGGGTGTTAGAACCGTGACTTTCCCTTCCTAGCAAACAAGATACAAGAGGGTATTAGTTCATCAGTTGGAAGTCGAGATGGCCCAGGCAAAGCGCCATCCTAGTTGTCTCCATAGGTAATTAACGAAGAGTTTAAATAAAATTATCTTATTGTAGCACTCATTCACAAGCGCAGGCAAGAGTTGTCCGAAGCATTAGAAATCTACTCGACCGGGTCACCGTGCCAAAAATGAATGATAGATTTTCTGTTGCAAGTGAGCTATGAATTGTCAGAACTCCACTTTTGTACACGTCGATTGGAGTACATCCATCTTGTCAAGTTGAATACATTTACTTCGAGATATTTGTATTAATGACGTATTCGATGGATATGGTCATGGACCACATGTAAAGTAGGAACGAAGAAAAGCAACGATATCGAACTCTTCGTTGATCAAATTGTGAACGTGCGTAGCAGGCTGATGGTCTTTTTAAAACGAAGCTGCCAATCCAACGCAGAGTACCAAAGTGGAGAACCATATGAGGAGTCTATTAGCCGGATGACCTGCTTCCTCTGAAAACTTGGGCAGCTTGCCAACTACGTAGTTGGTTCTTGTTGAGTGCACCTCTCTGTAAACTGGATGAGTCTTAGTTAGTGAGCTTCGCCATGTCATCCTGTGAATCCCTTGCAGAGTATTAGTCCAGTGCTTTTGGAGCTATGAACTTCAAAGAACCTGAGATATGAGATAAAATACCAAGAGCATCGAAAACTACTAAAAATGGCGTCTTTTCACCTTTAAGAAGTAAAGTCTGACAAACTGCTATTTAAACGCAGTTGAACACCAGATAAACACAGTTTTCTGTGTCACTTTATTGAACCAGATGCAGCAGGTCCTAACGTTAGCAGAATCCCAGGTGGACGAAAGCTAAAAAGATAGTTCATGAGGGCTGCTCACCAAACAGAACTATTAGTAGCCTGAATAAGGTTCAAATTCTCCGTTTGTCCAACCGTTTTGCACATATTTGATGCCCTAATCCTTGTCATAACACACAAAAGTATTACACAGTAGGTGGAAGGACCTAATGTTAGAAACTCACAGTGTCAACGGAGAGCAGCGGTGAAAATAATAAGTTTGGAATCCTAGTCAGTGAACGAAATGTTATGGTTCCTTCATCATTTGTGGTACGTTACAGACTAACCAGAAGTCATCGAGCGAGGAAAATGTATCGGGCAGCCGATATCACAAGCTGCCTACATCTACAACCCAACAAACTTGCTCGACACTTTGTTTTCCAGAGAACTGTCATGTGAAGGACACTTCAACTTCACATCGATCCCACTACCCGCAGGTGTATACCGATGGTCATACCGGACATTCTTAGAATATAAACAATCCGATTCGAGGAACACTCCAGGACAGGAGACAATTCATTGCAAGTAAAGCGCTGAAACATCATTTGTGTAACTGGGACCCACCGCATGTAGACCAATCACTCGTCAGTGGCTTACGACGAGACACTGCACAGCAAGACCAAGAGCTAACAATCCACAGGGGGGAGTAAAATATCCCTGAGTGCTCTTTTTGCAAGCCAATAGTGGTCAAGACACTCGTTTTTTAACCTAAGGTGACAAAGGAGTCCAGCGACTTCTTAAGCAGTCTACATTTTAGTCCCACTATTATCAGTAACAAGCCTGTGTCGGCGTGCATTGCATTCCTTTCCCAAGCTGGACAAACCTACCTTAGTTTCATTCGACTGTAAACGGCAGTAGGCCTTCTCGTAATGAACACTCCCAACTTACGACAACGCTATTTTGATAGGGGGAAAATTTACTTTAGCTATGGTCGTCAAATCTGTTCTGGGTTCAGTAAGTTTGGCTGCTTAGGGTGTTTCCTGGGGTAGTGGGCTCAGTAGTGATTGCTCATGGTACTACCGATGTAAGATGAGGTCATGTGTACTTGTGAAATTCATGGTTGTGCGTGGGCTAGGATACAGCCGGGACGTTCAGACCTAGATAAGACGAGGGCCCTCAACTAAAGCCTTTGGCTCAAAAGCCTAGCCACAAGGCACTAGATAAGACAGGGCCCTCAACTAAAGCCTTTGGCTCAAAAGCCTAGCCACAAGGCACCGGCGATTGTAGTGGGATCTCCACAGCAGCAAAAAGTATATAAGGGGCAAGTCACCTTCATTCTGGAGGACCCTGAGACCCTGTGAGTCAGAACTCTACCAGCTGACCAATCTGGTGTGAGGAAACGGGTACAAGTGCAATCCCGGGTACAGCTCAGTGGGTTGTGAAGGTGCACAAGCTGTCACACTGCAGTAAGGTCCAGTCCCTCCGTGGCGAAATTACTGGGGGGATTCAAGCCAGCAAAAGGAATGTTTGGGTGCACGGTTTCCAAAACTGTTTTCAGTGAAACCATTGCACCCAGTACGTACACATTCAGAACAGAACGGAAAATCCTACAGTGAAATCTCTCAATAAGGGAGCATACGTTTAGTGATGTTTTTGAACTATTTATGGTCCTGTTGCTGAAATTCACAGCGACTAGGAACATCCAGCTGAACAGGACAGGCAGTACCCCAACGTGTTGCTCCGCACCATGCACTGATGATGAGAAGTTTGCAACACGCAAGGCTTCGAGAACAACTCAGCCACCAACATCAAACAGGGTCCACTAGATCGGAAAGAGGGAGAAAGTAGCTAAACGATGAATGTGTTTACATAGGACTGGCAAATCTGGGTCAGTGAGTTTAGATGGTTAGAATGTTGATGCAGTTGACGGTTGACGGACCGAGATGAACCATCAAGTGAACGCTAGCCATGCTTCAAATCGACCCACGTGTCAGACCGGTGTTGTGAAGTATTCATACCACGGCTTGTTTCCCTATCCAAACACTAGCTCAAAGAAAATACTAAACCTGTTTTTATACGCAAGAACCAACGTGGGCGGTTTTTCCGAGGCTTGCCTTGCCTTGACCTAAAAAAGCCGAGATACACGTGCTTGCTACGTGGGTACGAAACCACATGCTGCGCTCTCGAGTTTTGTTTGTCTACTGAGCGGTAGGCCATTCTTTGAATGAACAAAGGCCGTACGGACATGAGGGACCATAAACACTCTCCACTTGGCCGGTGATTACGTTTATGGGAGACGTCCAGAAAGATCCAGAAAAAGAAATCATCTCTTTGGCTAGAAAATATTCACTAATACAGGATATTCCGTATCAGCCGAGGAGCATCACATTAGAAATGTTTTTAAAAAGGTTAGGATTTGCAGAATACAAAGGTTGTTCCAATAAATGAGAGTGCAAATGGAAACCCAAATACGCAAGTCTGCAATTAGCTGCCCTGTACACATGCCAGAAACGCAGTAATTTCTGACATGCTCTAGGTGAACTTGAGAAGTGAAATGAAATATATCGACTTTATAGCTCGTAAGGGGTAGATCGTATCATATGCACCCTTTGAAGTCACTAACTATTCCGTCTACGAGTTGCAACAAATAGAACTTCCTCTACCTGGCAACGCAATACCCGATTGAGAAAAATTTCCAGTCTCGTGAGAGTGTGTTCGATGGCCTTTGCCAGGTTTAGCGGAGTGTTCAGCTGTCACGACGTTGTTGAAACGGGTGTATGGACGGACTACAACATTCGCTTGTGACTGCGGAAGGTGCGCTCTTCACCCGGTGTCCGTAGTGCGCGCAATCAAGAGTGATGTATTCGGGCGTAGAACTACGGATCGGCTGCATACGCGGACTTTGCTTCCCCACCTAGACGGTAAACAAACCACTGCGTACTTATTCTTGTGAATGGGTCGAAGCTGGAGTGCAGCTTAACCCCTTATATGGTTAAATACAAGTGATACTGAGATGTATGGAACCCGAATTCTCGGGACAAACCCTTTGGGGATCATGCACTAACAATTTAAAACAGTTATTGTGCAATGCTAAGTGGATAAAATGAAACTATTTTGTAAGCAAGTTTTCGGAACGTGCGCCCAAAAAAGGCAGTACCCCAGTACAACGAACAAAGTTGATCAAAAGTTTATTGCTGGTTACGGGACGACTGTTAAAGTGTCCAATGAAGAACTAGACGGTTGTACACCCACAAGAAATGATGACTCGCACTATCTGTCTACCGCGGCACAATAACAGCCGCTTACCATATATGCCTTTTCTCTATCTTCATCAAACGAATTAACGAGATGCAATATTTTGGTAACCTAGACGTTTTGAAATCCCAAAATTTGAGGCAGAGAAAAACGTCAACAAAGGGCTTAGAGAAGAGCCAACCAAAATTATTAGTTAACTCTGGATATACCATGCTACAGAACGTGCAGGGCCGATAAACTTGTGAAGCTTTAGAACAGCGGATAATTTCAGTAACGAAACAGACAACCCACCAAGCATCAACAAGAGAAAAACAAACATTTGTGCATACATAATGTAGCTCAACCACGGTGTACAAAGCATTGCTGTTAATCGCAAATGGCATAACTCTGGAGAAATGGATGTGTGGATGATGTTCACGGGTGATTCGGGAGGAGCGCAAGATGCACCTGACCTAGTGAGAAACTCAACACATGATTCTCATGGTAAAGATATTGTTCGTGTGCCAGTCACACAGTAGTCAATCCAGGGTTGAAGTCTGCTGGTTGAGAAGGAGTGCTATTAGTTATTCGAATGTAGAAGAAAGATAAAAGAAAGCCCTGGTGTATGCTTGGGTAAACTGGCAACATGCTGGGGCGATTTTGAATGAATGCTGTAATCGTATAAATTATCGTACAGTCTCATTAAAGGCGCTGACTGCGCGCTTCAGGGACAATGCGATAATACACACAGGCATCAAAGATCAGGAATTTTTTCCGCATGTTTTCGCGTGAACTCTTCGGCATTCTTCATAAACTTTTTCATATCCTTCATGTATTCTTCTGCAAGCTCACTTCGAAGGGCTCGCTCAGTTTCTGGCGAATGCAACATGGCCACCAATGCTTGCAGAACTGGAAGAAAAGAAAGCATGATCAGGTCAAGCTACCGATCGTACAATTCAAACTGTATACTGATGGTGCAGGTTCGCATGTGACCAGTGCTTCTGTACACATGCGGCTACACTAGATGTTGGAAGGCAGCGCTGAATGTGGTGAAGAAACGGAAGCTCCTTCTATCAAGGAAGACAAACTAACCTAAATAACTAACTTATGAGTGGTGCATTACGAATAGATTAGCCTTGTTTTTTCCAAGTATTAGCTTGGCCGACTCTATACGAATGGCGGCGTAAAAAATCCAAATACTTGGTAAAAATGGGCCATACTGCTTGTCTTTCGATTGAGTAGTATTAACTGATTAAAATAAAACGGTGTGCAACCATATTCCGACTAACACCTACCATCTAGGATATCCAAACACAGGTTGACGGCACATTGTTGTCAGCGCGACATTTTCGTTAGCTTATGGTGCGTGCATACATCAAATCACTTAATACCATGGCCACTTGTCTTTCGATTGAGTAGTATTAACTGATTAAAATAAAACGGTGTGCAACCATATTCCGACTAACACCTACCATCTAGGATATCCAAACACAGGTTGACGGCACATTGTTGTCAGCGCGACATTTTCGTTAGCTTATGGTGCGTGCATACATCAAATCACTTAATACCATCAACGATGACTAAAATCACGTGATCTTCATCTTATCAAGCTTCTAATCGATGGAGAATATATGCACACATGAGACCAATTTTTCGACTGAGCTGAACAAGCATAACGTTGTGACTTTTGAGCCAATAGCGAGGGGCCTTGAGTTCGCTAAGAATTACGGTATACACCGTACGTAATGGGGAAACGCCTGTCACTTGGAAAATCTACTGACTCCTTTAAACTTGGGTAAAGACACTAACGGGCAACAATACGTGTGAAAGCGAAAAGTAAAGACGTAGTCAGCAGGTATACGCAAGTTCCGGATGCACCAAGCTGGAGGTAGTCGTGAATTGCCTTGAGTACACGGATAAGCAGCCCATCGACACGCGGATGCGCAAATAAATGCTGGGGTGAAATAAACGCGCCGCTAAGTAAGCATATCTAATTGCAGTAAAAAGCATTCGTCTACATTGAACCAAATTGTTGAAGGTGAAAGTCTTAGCCGCCGGAAGGAGACTCATTATGACAGGCAGATTTCAAAAACCTGCTGGAAAGAAGATTAAAGTACATAGCTTCATCCAGTTACCGCCACCAAGCAACGGTTGGTTGGTAGGGACGAAAATAGGCTATGCTATTCCCATTCTCCTGTTGCGTGGCGAAGTTACCACGGAGTCGACTAAAACAGTGGCCAGGCCGAAGAAAGAACTATGTTCGCTGTATCACATAGGTGCATTCGCAGTGGAGACAAGGTAGGCAACAGATTCACCTTAGACAATGGCGAAGGAACACTTAGCTTCAGAATCAACATAAACGACCAACCCTAATAGAACGATTGCCGTTACACTTGACCACATTCCTGAGAAGCAACTCTTAATTCGGATCAGGAAATCAAAACATTTACCGTGGGATAAAAACGGGGAATCTCTGGCGACACATACTGTATCACACAGTTGCGATAAATCTAGGTTAATTTTTTCCCTGCACTTCTAGAACCGGGCAAAATTACGAGGTAAAGCCAAAGAAGCCCCACAGATGTCTTTGATTTTCATGAGGTGCGTTTCAAATGCGATTGCAGGAATGTGAGGTGAAAAACATTGGGCAAACCGCACCACTACCTTATCCTGAACACAAACTTGGTGGAACAAGGCACATAATGGGTGCTCCGTGGGCATGGAAACAGCGGCAGCGTTTTCATGACAGCCTTTTTGGGAGTGAAATCGAGTCAACACAGAACGCCTGCTACCTCTGACAGACGTATCACACAATCATCACGAGGGACACTCTCCTTGTAGTCGGTATCTTCAGTCCCTCTTTAAAACATACCCAACCATGCATGGCAGTGCAACCCAGGAGGCCTGCACGAGTACCGAGTTTCTTCAGTATGTCTATAAAAGCTACAGAACAATTTTCATGAAACAAGACCAACAACCCACTTCGTTTTACCTGCACCTTATGGATGCCAGCTACGATGCGTGGTTGAAGGAAACAGTGTTGCTTTTTGGTTGCGAAGGACTGGATAGTTATTCTTTTCAGTTCCCTGAACGTTGCTTTCGTTAGGGTTCGGATAATCCGATATCTCTCATGGTAGGTCTGTGGGCTCGAATCGTACTGCATCACACTCCAGTCTCCCTCTCTTGCGAAGTATATTTACCACCGGACTCCGAGTAGTATCTCCATGGTCCTCAAATACTAGTGGAATGCAATCATCTTGTTAAGTTCATCATCCCTCAAATGTGTTGGTTCGACTCATTGAGGTATTTCTGCCTAAGATTCCGTGTATCGGCCTTAGCTGCAGATTTTCTTGTCGCAGTGTTATTGAAACCGCACCAAATACCCTCAAAGCATTAATGAGGTCGACGCGAGGTGTTTCGGGAAGAATTTCCAAGATAATTTCTCGTTTCTAAAACGGGGAATTTACTCTCCAAGATGAAAACTCGCAGGAACGATGAATTTGTCAGTAGCCACCACTTATCAGCTGACTGAGCTCCTTCTAGAGGTGTACGAGTTTTTAGGTCATTACACCGTACCTGTGAGAAAATGTACCTTGACTTTCACCCGCTTAATGGTGAATTTGATGCGCTTACAGGTGCACTCAATTTCTATGTTTAAGAATCGATCGAATCCGTGGATCCGCTTCTGACTACGCTTCGTGGAAAGTGCAGCTTGACTCCGGTCAATTGTGCGTGCTAGTGATGTCGACAAAAGAAGATACATCCAGCGCGGTCAGCTGATGGTGCCGAAACAACGAAACATGTAAGCCACAAGCGATGTTATGGTGACATTACAACAGTGACTGTGGCTATACTAATCAGCCACGAATTTTTCTAAAAAAAGACCTGTCGACCCCCCAGACCTATGTCGTTGTTTTTACGATGAAGTGCCGTTGACGGTATAGCTTCGGCTAACCGCACAGAAGCGTTACGGTACAGATTGGTAGGTAAGTTGGCACGTGCTCATTGGATTGTGCTGTACTGTTGCACCTCAACACGACATCGGAGACTGGCTAACAGTGACCAGTTTTGTTTGTTCGGTTTGCTTGACCAGTATGGCTGCTGCTGAGATTACTAGCGTTGGTGTGGGCATAAAGGCGCACTGACGCGTATAGGACAGGATATCGTTAGTTGGGTGGGAGGTAGGTATCGTTAGGTAGGTGGTAGGAATCTCTTGGTAGTGTGGAGATAGTAGGGATTTTCAATGAAAAGTGGGGTCAGTCTGAACTGGAAAAAACAGAAGTACTGTATAGCTAACTGGTCATCATTCAGAATCATCAGTAGTGCGCACCTTAAGAAAGTAATGACTCTGAAGACGTCATTTCCACTTTGCTCCACCGGGAGGCATGGGAATCGCAAGGATCACCACCCAACTAAAAATACCTCGGGAAGATATGTGCCGCTGTGTATCACGAATGCTCCTTATTCCCAGCCCCCCCCCTTAATTTCGGTATCGATTGGGTACTGAATCATCATCTCATAGCTTCAGTCAAACATTGACGATATCGGATATGCCGAGGACATCATTTTGCTGAAGGATAGACCAGGAAATCTAAAAGCGCTCAGTGAAGCCTTTGACTGGACCTAACTTGTTCGATTCTTAATCCTTTGTGACCTACACAACAGCACTCGTTGGAACTTCACGCAGCTGAGATACCGATTGAAGACAACACAACCATTAGCTAGCATGTAGAAATGGACAATAGCTCATCCTTTATTGAGTTCCTGATAGTCGTCATTTCTTGGTTGTCGCATAAGAATATGTCCACACGACCAATTGTGCTGTTTACTGGTTCTTATTTGAGCTTGGCGAGATAAAGGAGAAGTGCTAGACCCTAATAGGGGCGTTCAAAAAAATCTTGATGCAGACGAAATCCTATCACTCCTAATCTCATTACTCATCTCATGATGTAAAACGGTGGTGGGTCAGTACGCTAATTAGGTAAACCCATTGAAGTGTTAGTTAAATAATAAACGTCACCCAGTGGTAAGCGGCATTTCTATAATGACATGGAGAGTTTTTCTCAGAAAGGACGGAAGGAACGTGTCCAAAATCATCTTCTCCATGTGAGTGTCTTATCCTCGGGACCTTCTCAAAAGGGAACACAACAAGTCGGTTTTTGCATTCTTCTCAGTGGATTGGGCAAAGGAAAAAAACAAAGAACTACATTGAGAATACCGGAATTGCATTCCCCCAGTCAAGTAGTATGTAACAGTATGGGGTTGAGATTAACCTGAAAACGAAAAATCGGGACAGTCAAGCTGCCATTCTCTTGTCCTTCCATGTAAAAGCAGGACTTCACGAGTGGGGTCGGTGGACATCCAAAAGCTGAAAGTCTTCTACCACTAATGCCTGAAGTGCATTCTGAAAAGACGGTAGATAGATAGGGTTTCCCTTGAGGAAATTTTACATTCCACACTCAGAAGTATTTATCCGGCAAGTTCATCTGCAACGGTTTTATCCTGTTCTTTGCGAGCCACGTTATGTGCTGCTGAGGGACATTTCTATCAAATTTGGATTTGTCTGTGAAAAGATGGCTGAAAAGATGGCTCAACACAGTCGTATCGGACGTCGAAATACTTGATATCCAACCTGTTCCACAGTATTTGTCCCGGAAAACAAGCTTGGTTTGCCATTTGTGACGATCACCAAGAGTTCGCAGCATCAGTCCTAACAGCTACAGAGCTAGCCCACTCTTCAGTATACAGATTGCAGCGGTTTTCTTATTCAGAAGCTGGCATTTGTAAAGTGTGGCTGTTCTGTGGCGTCTCATTAGGCTAGCCGTTTACAGTGACACGGAAAATTAATTGCTACGAGGCCCTAGAGAAGGTTGTGCCTGAATTCGACTTGCGTCCAGGAACTTGACAACATAATGACATTGTAACCCCTTTTCGACAGTTCGATAGAATTGCTGCAAAAGCCGCAATTTTATCAAGTCAGTCCAAAGATGTAAATCCGGGAGTAAAATAGAAGAGATCACCACTCCGACAGAGTTTAGACAATCTCTTCAAAGGTCCGTCATTAGGAAACCCATGTTTGGATTCCACCAGCTTGAGTGTTATTCCGCGATCGAGAGGTTATTCATCCGAGGGAAATCTATTTCCGAGCGCTGGGGAATATTTATACATGTTGGTTTATAACCTTAGGAAGTGATACCAACTGTAATATAAACCATCTCCAGAACGGCTACTCGCGTTGAGCTAATGTTATGATCGTGTGCAACTCACTGTACTCGATTTTCGTCGCCGGTTTCCAGTTATCCGATTGGATGATGGGCAGACACACTTGTCCGTTTTCATCGATATTCGGATGATAAATGGGGGTTTTGAACAACAGCTTTGGCGGCTTGAATGGATACTCAGCAGGGAACACTATTTCGATTTTGAACGCGCCCTTGTTGTACGGTGGTTCTTCCTAAAACATCCGAAGGGATAAGTATCGGAATAATAGCAAAGGAGACCGAGTGCATAAATCACATATATTTGGTGCAAAAGTAGCAACGACAAGAAACAGGCGAGTGTGAGAAACAACCCAATGTGCTGAAGTTGGGGGAAAAATCCTGCTTGATTTCACACACGACAATGCATCTGCCATGCAAACTGTCTAAAATGGGCCAAAGTGAGGTTAAGGTGATCGGCTCAAAAATCAAGTTATCAGGCTGTGGCGTTCTCTTCGCGCAATCCACAGAAAGAACGAAAGCCGGAGCACCGCCATGTCGCCCGGTCTTTGACAGAACAGTCGAGAGAACAAGGCTGGACTCAACACATAGACATTCCGGCCAGGAATATCGTCAACACCATTACCAGCAACAGCAGCACTACAAACAGCAACATCAGTGTTGTCACTCGGAGTGTCTGGGCTGTGAGTCGGTCGCCATCGAAGCCTGTGCAAAGAAACATAAGTTGGAGACCCATATATAATTCGACCACTGACTGTCAGTGCACCAGAGAAGGGGTACAATGATATTTAAACATTGCTATTCCAATCACGTCCCGTCAATCAATCCTTCTGAAGTGTGCATTATGTGTCGGTATAATATTCAGTGAATCGAAAAAAGCTTAGATGAGACGAAAATGGCCGACTCACGAAACAACATGCAGAAAGCGATGGAGAATGGCCACGAATGAACAGAAGTGTAAATGGAATTTGTGTGCTGTTCTTGCACTATTGATTATCGTCCCGAGAGGGTTTCAGATAGTACCTGTCGGCACTGGTGTGGATAAATAGTTATAGAGGACGTATATTGATAAAATATTCATGCCACTGAAAGGCCATGAAACAGAACTCTGCCTTGCGCATACAACCTTTAGTTCTCCACAGCAAACTTTGCTGTGAAGAAGTAACCACACAGAGCTGACGTTTCCTGACAAGTTTAGGTGTTACTATATACTCACGTCCAGCAATATCATCAGCGAAACAATCTCAACAAAAATAGACGTATGGATAAAGAAGATCGTTGGTATATCTTTCGCTCAAATACATACGTATTGACATAGTGCAAGAAACCTAAGTGACAGTGAACTGCGTTGTAGTTTTGTCCACCAGCCCAGATATCTCTGTGTGAAACCTATAACTCCGGAACTAGAGCGACATTGACGATCTACAGTGCCCGTGACAATCTTCAGAGCCTTGATACTAGTCAGTTAAACATGATTCAGAACACTTCACCTTCCACTGAACATCATCTCGTCCCTTGAACTAATGGACTGTGGGCTAACTTCTTGAGACAACCTTCTATTGAGGAAGAAAACTTAGCAAAACAATTATACTACGAAGCAGACATGGGCAAAGAAACGAATAACGGAAGACACAGACTTTCAAAGAGCTGCTAAGAAACAGGAAAAACATCTATGTAACCCAAATGATGAATGTATATAAATACAATCTAAGAGCTATTCGGTCACAGAAATGTGGACGCTGATAGGATCCCGTAGTGTTGGGGTTAATACCGCAATTCATTTTAGAAGGAGCGTATATATCCCCGTTTGGCGTCATGAATACATGTACCAGCTGATGAACCTGACCGAAAACGCCGTGATAAAACCTTGAGTAAATCTAGAGGACTCAAGGATTGTGAGGGCTTTCCTAATCTAATACACTCTAAGGATCTACTCTATTGTTCCCATAACAGTGTGTCATCATCATCATCGACAGCATGACATCAGTGTCCAACACTGATGCTTCACTGCCGTACATAACATTGTGTACGTTGACATGAAACTACACACGGGAATTACAAGGAATCACATTAAAGCGGCCGTCAGATAGTTTGATCTTTGTCAGCTCATTAGCATTCAGTTTCAGTTGTTCGGTCCCAACCTAAAGATGTCACGTCATCATGATGGACGGGCAACAGTGCTGCAGTGTGTTACAGGATAAACCGGCGGGAACTCATGACATCAGTTCCAACACTGATGCTTCACTGCCGTACATAACATTGTGTACGTTGACATGAAACTACACACGGGAATTACAAGGAATCACATTAAAGCGGCCGTCAGATAGTTTGATCTTTGTCAGCTCATTAGCATTCAGTTTCAGTTGTTCGGTCCCAACCTAAAGATGTCACGTCATCATGATGGACGGGCAACAGTGCTGCAGTGTGTTACAGGATAAACCGGCGGGAACTCAGTTCCTTGGGGCAAAGTCATGCCAGGAAAGTAGTCAGCTGTTCAGCCGATGCAGAGAGTTGGGGGTGAAAAGAGCGCACACTAATGGAACCAGGTTTCTAGATTCACTAGCTTTAGTGAGAAAGGGCGTTTGAATGATGTGAATCAGAAGCTGACATTTCTGTCTGGTTTTGCTAAGCCAATCCTGGTAGGGGACCGTGTTAGGGACGCAAGTCATCGTTTATTAAGACTGTTACTGTAGCCTGATAAAAGTAGGTCAAAAACCAATGACAACTTCATCCACCAGGTGTAACAGTTCGTACGTGGAGAAGCTATGGCCATTCCGATCTGACCAGCTGAGTAGTACGGCTAGTATCATGTACTCAGACTGTCCGACTAGGCTTAGACAACCTGAACATGGAGGAAAAAGCGACTGACAACCTATCAGACGTGGCTGCCAAAAGTACAGAGAATGAGATGACCCACAAGTCCACTTAATAGACGGCCATACCCGTCATTAATATGATGGAACCCAATCCAGAAATAAAAACCGGATGGCTTAGCTAACACAACCAAATTGACCTGTGAGCATTCACGATATCGATGCATTTTAAAAAAAAGCCGCTTGGAAAAGGGTGACAGCATGGATGAGCAGAGAAAGTACACCCACAACTTACCGGAACAATGTAACCAGTCCAGTGGCGCATATTAGAATCATCTACAACCACATTTCGAAATATCCTCTGGTTTGAGGCATTTTTCAGAGTTGCTAATTCCTGCAATAGGAGCAAGGTAGGGCACGGAAACGATATGAGTTAAATTCTTGAGATACAGTGACTATACATACACATCGTATCATGGGAAATACAGACCGCGATTGGTGCGTTAAGCTTGTAGGAATGATACAACGCTCAGATATTCAAATCAGTGGTCTTAAACACGGGGTGGCCCGGGAAAAAAACGGGGGCACTCCAGGCTTGAAGCTATCACTTGATTCGAAACTGATTATTCGTCCATTGCATCTAATGCTTGTTTCACCCAATTTTTTTACCTTTCAGCCCTTGGCTTTTTTGTTGTCTAATAACTAGTGAAGCTGATGAAGAGTGCAAAGTCAACGAATCACCGTGGACGTCTTCCATGCACCACTGAGGAAGCAGAACACGCGCCATATCGCTTGTTTCTCTTAGTCAATTCGCCCAAAATTATACGACCTTCCTGTTGTACTCTCCTTCTGACTAAGTCTCCCTTGTTTCTGTTCACTCTTCCCGTTCCACACGCATCGTCGAAACGGCGTGTACATGCCAAGTCATCGTTTGACCGCCTCTTGCCCGTTTCTACCCTTCACGTAGTTGTGCAAAAAGAAACCTTTGAGGAAGTCGGTCGACTGGCATATGCAGCACGTGGCCAATCCAGCGCAACCTACGCAGCGTGATCAGTTCATCTACCGAAATTCAGTTATTTCCTCCGAATACCACTCGACGTACTTCAGAATTGCTGATCCGGTGTCCCCACCAGACTCCGAAGACATCGATGGTCAAACACTGAAAGCCTTTTGATGTTTCCGGTGCGCAGCAGCCTGGTTTCTGATCCATATAGTAAAATGGAGCGCACCACACTCGACCTTTGACGGACAAACTGATGTCACGCCTACAACATAGGTGAAGCAGGTTCACAAAAGCTGCTCTGGCCCTCTCAATCCAGATGAACATATCATCTTCCGTGAGACCACTGGGACTGATACAGCTGCCCAGGTAAACAAATTTGTCTACTACCTCAATCGGCTCATTCGCAAGCATGAGGCTAGGGTTCGAGCCCACCCAGTCTTGTAGTAGCACTTAACACTGTAGGTGTGAAGCACACGCAAAACCATGAGGCGGAATAATTTAGATTAGTTAACATTGTTTGCCTTACCACGGGGTCAGATCCAAGAACGGTGACGTCTTCTGCATACTCGATATCTGTGAGCAAACGCCCAGGAAGCAATTCGACCCCACAGGCATTTGAGACCGGTAGTGAGTCTTCCATGATCGTATCAATGACGAAGTTGAAGAGCAAAGGTGAAAGAGGACAGCTCTGTCGGACACCACTCGATGTGGCGAACTCAGAAGAAAGCATCCTGTAAGCCTTCACGCGGCCGCGGGAGTTGGCGTACAGCGCCTTAAGGAGGGTCAAGAATCTATGGGGGACACCTGTGCTCCACAGAAACTTCCATAGTGCTTGACGGTCTACAGAGTCAAAGTCAGCTTTCAGATCGAGAAGTACAACTATGACTGGTTGCTGGAAGCAGTGTCGCAGTTCTAGAATCTGTCGGAGGGTGAAGATATGATCAGCACATCCTTTTGCAGAACGAAACACAACTTGGTTTTCACGGATCTGTCTCCCGTGTTCAGTCAACCTTCGAAGAATGAGACCGGAGAGCACCTTAGATGACACAACTCATAGGCTGATGCCACGGTGGTTTTCACACAGCATCCGCGTATCATTTTTGAAGACAGGAATAACTGTCGACATGCCCCATTCTGCAGGCACTTTCTCTTCGTTCCATAAAACACCAATAAGCTGTCAGATGGATCACCAAGGATTCTCCGCCTTCTTTGAAGAGGGATGGATAGAGACCGTCCGGTCCTGGTGCCGTCTCACGTCTCTGCAAAGATATTTCGTACTTTATTTCTTTTTCCGAAGGGCGATCAAGGTTTACATTCCATTCACCTGTATGCACTATCTCTACAGCTTTTGTTGCAGGTCAGCTGAACTGCTCTTTGAAGTGTTCGGCGCCTCTTTCCAGTCGACGTTTTTTGTGAGTGAATTAATGAGCCATCTGTTTCACTTATCGTTTTCCTGACGGTTGCTTTCTTGGGGCCAGTTGATCGTATCAGTTGATATGGAGCACGGCTGATTCCCGTACCACAAGCCTTCTCCATCTCCCGAGCTTTCGAAGTCCACCAGAGCTCTCGATCTTTCCTTAGACTCTTCAATATTCGACATTTGAGGGATTTGCGTGCGCCGTCGTACTCGTTGCCTGCTGGTATAGATTTTCTGGCATCAATCATGGATAGCGACCTCGCCAACATCCAGTGGTCTTGTGGTCTAATCGGAGGTCGGATAGACAGCACTGAACACCGCTAAAATAGCTCCTTTCACATTTTGTCAGGCTTCATCCACATGCTGACTGCCACTGCAGTATTGGTTTACCGTGGAGAGTTGTTGGGCTAGCTCAGGTCGGTACTGTTGAGTTATCGTCGTTCTTCGAAGATAGTGGATTGGCATGCTTCTTGCTAACTTGCGAGGGTCTGAAGGGAAGCGAACTATCAGCACCATGGCGTGATCGGAATCAACTGGTGTGTGTAGTGAAAGTTACGTTTTACTGCTATTTCCATTAATTCACTTTCACTTGTCATTTCAGCCTATACTGTGCTTATATGTTGAATAAAACCTATCCTTAGGCGAAGTCTTCTCATTCTACTCAACGGATCAATAATCGATCAACTAAGTCATCGAATCCCACTACAATTTATTCAAAATATTATTTCTCATCCATGGAACGCTTTGCTCAACCAGCCAGATTTGACGCGGATCCATACGCTCCTGATGCAACCGACCAATGGACTCACTGGTATCGTACATTCTCCCATTTTTTATCTTGTATTGAGACGCATAATCCGGACAAACTGGAACTTTTGATCAATTATCTTTCTCCTTCTGTCTATAAATCCGTTTCTGAGTGCACCACTTTCAAAGAAGCTGTCGATACCTTTTGTTCAATCTACGCCCCACCAAAAGCGAAATTTTCGCTCGACACGTTCTTCACACATGCAAACAAGACAATGAGCAAACACTCGATCAGTATGTGCAAGTTACGGACGCTAGCTGTTGATTGTAATTATCAAAGTGTGATAGGCGATGTACTTCGTGACGAAGCTATCAGGGACGCATTTATATCGGGCATTCAGTCTACTCAAATCCGCCAGAGGTTGTTGGGGCACCATACGTTGACGCTACGTGAAACCGTAGAAAAATCTAAAGCATTAGAATCGGCATACAAACAGGCATTGTCGTATCAAGTACCCATCTCATCCAACCCTTGCAACGCTGCTCCACAAAGTGGCTTAATTCAAGATACAGCCCAGTCAGAAGATACAATCCTGGTTTCTGCGGTAACTAATAAATGTTTCTTTTGTGGCTATAGCCGACATCCGCGAACAGCCTGTCCCGCCAGAGATGCCATATGCAAGCTGTGTGGTAAAAAGGGTCACTTTCAGTCAGTTTGTCGTTCCAAACAGAAAATCAAGCCACAGACGGCGACTACTCAATCTTTGTTGTCGGCGCTTACTGTTGCGTCTGCTCCCGTATGCCTACAACGAGCGATTAGCCATGTTCATGTTAACGGTGTCCGTCTCCAAGCCCTAGTCGATACTGGTAGTTCTGAGAGTTATATCTCAGCATCAGTCGTCAATAAGTATAGCTGGCGAGTACTTGAATCAAGAAGCAAAATCTCTATGGCTAACACATCTTTTGTGAGTGATACCCTTGGACATTGTCTGGTGCACCTACAGCTAAAAGACTTCGATTACAAAAATGTCAGGCTATCCGTTCTGCCGCATCTATGTGCTGATGTGTTGCTCGGTCACGACTTCCTCAACCTGCACGAGGGATTAGAAATACCATTCGGCGGTTCCCGACCACCTGTTTCCCTTTGCAATTTGACAGCTGCTAAGGTTCCTGAACCGACTTTGTTCCAGAATCTATCACCAATGTGTAAACCTGTCGCGACAAAAACCAGACGTCAGTCTTTTCCTGATCAACTTTTTATTCGCAAGGAAATAAATACCCTGTTGCGTGATGGAGTTATAGAGCCATCAACGTCACCATGGCGCGCTCAAGTCTTGGTCACAACCAACGAGCGTCACAAGAAACGAATGGTGGTTGATTATAGTCAAACAATTAACCGTTATACGTATCTGGACGCGTATCCACTCCCACGCATCGATGAAATGATAGAAAAGATCGCTTGTTATGAATTATACAGCACACTCGACCTACGCAGTGCCTATCATCAAATTCCTATCCGCGCCGACGAACGTAAATATACTGCTTTCGAGGCTGATGGCAATTTGTACCAATTTTGTCGGATACCCTTCGGTGTGACGAACGGCGTTGCTTGTTTCCAACGCACAATTAATGAAATCATTGCCAAAGAGAAACTGGCTGACACTTTTGCATATATAGACAATGTCACTATATGTGGTAAGTCTATGGAAGAACATGATGCTAATTTAGCCAAGTTCAAAGAAGTGGCGCGGCGTTTCGGACTCATTTTCAATGAAGCAAAGAGTACAATCTGTACAAGAACTGTACGGTTGTTAGGTTATGAAGTATCTAAAGGTACTATCAAACCAGACCCCGATAGATTGCAACCACTCCGCAATCTTCCGCTACCCAGTAACCAAAAATCCCAACAGCGAGCGATCGGGTTGTTTTCATACTATTCGCACTGGATATCACATTTTTCTGATAAAATTTATCCACTCGTGCACAACCAAATATTTCCTCTACCTGAATCGGTGAAAACGGCGTTTCACGTACTGAAATCGGAACTGGCTAACGCCCTGGTTGTTTCTATCGACTACACACAACCGTTGGTAGTCGAGACAGATGCGTCTGATGTGGCAATCGCAGCCACCCTAAATCAAAACGGAAGACCAGTGGCCTTTTTCTCCAGAACACTGTCTCCATCTGAGCAACGCCATTCCGCTGTTGAAAAGGAGGCGTATGCAGTAGTTGAATCTATACGAAAATGGCGACATTACCTCATTGGTAATCACTTCAAGTTGATAACGGATCAACGATCTGTTGCCTTTATGTATGATACTAACCATAAAGGTAAAGTTAAAAATGATAAGGTACTACGGTGGCGCATCGAACTTTCTCCCTTCAGTTATGATGTCGTTTATCGTCCGGGCAAAGAGAATCAAGCTGCCGACGCACTATCCCGCCAGTTTTGTAGCTCCGTGTCTAATTCTTCCGAACTGCTGACCATACATACCTCGTTATGCCACCCCGGAGTCCGAAGAATGTTTCACTTTGTCAGATCGAAAAATCTCCCATATTCGTTGAACGAAGTTAGGGCCGTTGGCGCACAGTGCAGGGTATGTGCGCAAATAAAACCTCGGTTTCATCGTCATATACAGGGAAAACTAATAAAGGCTACCCGGCCGTTTGAACGCCTGAACATCGACTTTAAAGGACCTTTACCTTCGGTTACTCGTAACAAATATCTGCTAACGATCATAGATGAGTATTCGCGATTCCCATTTGCTTTCGCTTGTCCGGATATGAAAGCATCGACACTCATCAGTTGTTTATGTCAACTGTTTTCAATATTCGGTATGCCAGCCTATATTCACTCGGACCGAGGCCCTTCATTCATGTCCGTCGAACTCAAAGAATTTCTGCATAGCAGGCATATAGCTACCAGCAGAACCACTCCCTATAACCCCCAGGGCAACGGACAAGTGGAACGGCTAAACGGAACGCTTTGGAAAGCTATCACACTCGGTCTAACATCTCGTAATCTCGACGTTGGACATTGGGAACATATGCTCATCGATGCTCTGCATGCCATTCGGTCGTTACTCTGTACGGCTACTAATTCAACGCCACATGAGAGAATGTTTGTTCACGAGCGTCGATCATCGTACGGACCATCTCTGCCTAGCTGGCTAACATCACCAGGTCCTGTCCTTGTGAAGTCGTTTGACCGCACATCAAAATATGACCCAATTGTGGAAGAAGCGACGTTACTAGAATGCAATCCTGAGTATGCCCATATTCGGCTCAAAGACGGTAGGGACCAAACAGTTTCCATCCGTCAACTCGCACCCTCAGGTGGCGATAGGGGATCAGAAAATGTTCAGCTCGAGTCTCAAATGTTATCGGATGATAACAACAGTGAAGGAAATGCTGGAATATTACCAGAGATTCGAAACAGACCGAAAACGAGCATATCAGAAAATGCTCAGAATCTTCTGATGCAACAGCAACGCACTCGTCCCTACAATTTACGTAGCCGCGAAGTCTAGATCAGGTGTTACAAACTTTCTTGCGTCCACGACGAA